TTCCTTAATCAACAGAGCTAAATTCATTTATCCACTGCATATTTGTCTGCTAATTTTTCTAATGAGCAAAGATATTATTTGCTTCATGTGTTCTTATGTTCTTGAAATTGTGCCAGAATGACACTATAAATCAATCAAAATAAAAATCAAGCTCCTAAGCAAAGCTTATTTTATTTTGAGAAATTTATTCTCTAAGTATTTTTATATTTAGGAGATAATTCTTAAGTGAAAAAATTTAAAGCACTTTGTCAGAAATATGTCAGAAATAACTGTTACGTCTCTCACTGGTAGAAACATGTACAAAACAATTTTATGATCCTTGTCCTTCCCTCAAAACTAGAACATTAAAAGATTCATTTATTGAATGCTAAAGCAGTGTAGAAAGTTGTTCATTTTTCAGGAATAATTTAGAAGAGTGATCTCCAAAGTAAAACATACCAGCCTTGAGATAATTCATTGGGGTGGAGGTGGGGTGCAGGTCTGATAAATTTTTTGTTAGTTTTATTTTTAAACCTACAACGGGGTCACAAACTTTGGCCTGATGTACCTCCTGTTTCTATAAATATATATATTTTATTGGAACATAGCCACACCTATTCTTTATGTATTATCTAAGGTTGCTTTCATGCTACTATAGTAGGAGCAACTGTGACAGAACATATGGTGTGAAAAGCCTACAATATATACTAACTGTACCTTTATGGAAAATGTTGGCCAGTCCTGACCTAAAATCGTAAGAAAGAATTTAAACTTTGTTGTATTATATGGGTTTACATTGGTCTTCTTGGTGAGTCTGAATGCTAAACAGTCGAACTTACGTGTATTCTAAGTGAGAATGTCAGGGAAAGTCTCAGGGCTCTCTAACTTGGTGTAATAGACAGAGTCCTCAATTGTCTATTCTTTAAGGGTGTTGCAACCTATTGCAGTTAATATGCCAGTTGGACATATGATTTATCATTTTAACTATTTTTAACTAAAATAAGCTTCATAAAATGAAGCCAATGACTTGATTTTTAAAAACCTCTGGCAAAATCTTCTTGAATGGAAGATGCATTGACTGCAGAGTGCAGAGTCAGCGAACACTCTTCCTGAATGTGTAGGATACACGTTAATATGCACCCCCCCCCAAATCCTTTGTCTTTGCATGGGTGTGTATGTTGGCAACAGGGATTCCCTGACCTGATTTTGCTCTGAGAAGCAGAGGAGATGAAGATGTACATCCAATCACACAGCAGTCTTATTTACAGGAGGCTTTCTTTCTCTTTCTCTGAGGCAGCCTGGACAGACAGGTTGCTAGGTAAAGTATAGCTGAGTTTTGATTATTTGAGGAAAAATAAAGGCTAAATTAACTAACAAACCAAAGCCTGTATCTTTGGAGCACAAAAACAATCCCAGTAGTGGTACCTTCTGCATGTGAACCTCTTACAAAAACATCTGATACAGGAAAGGTTTAGTTACTATGGAGATAAAGAAAAAAAATAAGGAAACAAAACATCTTCCAGACTGCATAACAAAGTTGATCTTTAGGTTGAGACTGTTAAACAAAGAAATTGGGAACAGTTGAAGATGACAAAGTATTCTAGGTACTACAAACAGAAGGGAAGGAGAGGTTATAATCTTCACAATGGGCAGATTGAAGTCAGGCCAAAAATTTCTTAGGTAAGACAAGTAAGACCCACTTATATGCTGAAGGATAAACTTTACAGGGAAAATGTAATAGGGTATTTTAACATCAATACTCATAAGGCAATAACAAGAGATAAGAATAAAGTAAAATATATTAGTGATAAAATACTTTGTCATTTTTCAATTTATGATAGAATATATGGAAAAATAAAAAAAAATTTGTGGAGTCTTCCACAAATTTTATACAAAATATTTGTATAGCCACAAAATATGGCTATATTTTAGGTCAAAAATAAACATTTATTAATTGCCAAGACAAAAATAATGCACACAAATGTCTTTAGTAAAAAAATCATAAATTAAAACAAATGTAGAAAACACAAAAAATTAATACAAATTTAGAAACCACAAAAATTCCATGACAGCAGTATATTGAAAAATTTGCTTTTTATAAAATCTTTGATTAAAGAAGAAATTAAAAATAAATTTCTACCTTGAAAATAAAAGGTAATTATTATCTATTAGAACTTTTGGGTTACAGTTAAAATCATTCTTGGAAGAATATTTATAGCTGGAAGTATGTTTAATAAGTAAATAGAAAAATTAAAATAAATTAAACATTCAATGTGGAAATTTTAAGAATCATAACATTTTCCCAACCTAAGAAAAGCAACACAAAGGAACTAAAAAGAATTGACAAGAGATAACTAAAAAACAGAAAAGATGTAGAAATGATAAATATCAACATTTTTTAAAAAACAAATAAATCAGTAACAGTATAGTAACACTATTCTAGTGTAACAATACTTTCAAAATTCTGAAGGACATCATTTTGCTTAAAATTCTACATCCAAAAACTTAAAAGTAAGAGCAGAAGAAAAATTTTAACCTGTAAAGTGTAAAAAAGTTTGCTTCTAATATTCCATTTTTTTCCCCAGGAAGCTCCTTTAGGGCAAAGTACATATGAGAGAAACCAAGAAAAAGAAAGATATGGGACCCTTAAAGGAGGAGATCAAACACAAGAGATAGGCAAAGAAAATTTCTAGTATATTGGTAAAGAGAATCACAGGATGAGAACTTATACAAAGCTTAGAAGACAACTAGCACAGATTGGAATAGGTATGTCGAGTGATGTCTATGTTGAGGCTGCCACTATAGAGAATCCTTCCACCTTTGTTCTGTATTGTCAAACAGATGACGCTCCAACGAGCCTGGTCAAGATTCTTAACTCTCTTTGGCTTTTCCAAGTGTGAATAAAATTCTTTTCTCCTTCCTGCCTGGAGTAGCTGATACCTCCTGACCCTACCTATAGCCATGTTCAGGTTTAACTGAGTTTTGAGAGATGGAGGTTGGCCACAACAAGCTTAGCAGCATGAAACAACAGTACAAGTCACCACATGTTTTACTCCTAATTGGTTAGCCTTGATGCCATCAGATTTCCCCCATACAGGAAACTCTCTGCTTTCCATGTATCATGCAGACATCCTCAGAATGAGCTCTCAAACTCTCCAAGAACAGCTGAAGCCAGAATATAAATAAACCAGAGACTTTGTTTAGTTCATCTTTCCCTAGGCACCATCAAATCTCAACAATGCTGCCTTTTCATTACACAGAGAGGCTTGTACTTGCTATTCAGTTTTCATATTAACCACTTTTTCACTGATTAAGAAATGTAACTAATTTTTGATAAAATAATGAAATAGTTGATTGAGAAATAAAACAAAATTAGAACATACTTCCATCTAAAAGCCATCTTTCACTGACAAAACTACAAGTATTCCTTTAATATTGCACACTAACATGACTATTATTTAATAATGTTAGAGGTGTTAACCAATGGAATTAGACAAAAGAAAGTAATAAAAAGTATATGAAATGGCAAAGAGGAGGTAAATTTATCATTATGTTAGGTGATTCAATATTTTAGGTGCGATACAAGAGAATCTTGTATAGGAACTTCCAAGAGAATCAACTGAATGATAATTATAATCAATGAGACGACTCAGTAATGTATCTCAGTGGGAAATCCCACTGAGGCTTTCATGTTCTGACACAGAAATAGCCCAAAGCTGTTATTAAGTATAAAATAAAATCCAAACAAATAAAATGAAGATAATGGATGTAAGTGCTATCATTTTTATAATAGTATATACTTGTCATATATATGTGTGAAATTATTTGTATTATCTTCATATGTAAAATAAACACTTGGAGCGCAACAAGAAACTAATACAAATAAAACACATGTCTCTGTTTCAAGGTACAGAGGGTTTAAACCTCTCAATTCTACAAACTTAAATACCTTAAAATTATAATTTTCTAACCTGTTTAAATTTTCTGAGAGTTTTTTTAAGTAAGTTTACGAAGTAAGTTTTGAACCTGTTGCTTTAAAAAAAGGGGGAGCATCTACTGATAAAGCAACCACATTCAACATAAATTTTAGAAAATCAATCAATGGCTTAAAATACATAGTTCTGGCAAAGTGAATTTAGCTTGAAATGCAAAAGGTACTTGTGTATCTGCCAAAAAAGTAGCCCTTCTCTTTCATAGAGATTTATGTTGATAGACCCTTTTTGCAACTTTAATTTGTAGGCTCAAGACTTTGCACTCTGGTGGTTTCCTTGTTCCTTTCACATAATCCCTAACCTTGTCCTGTAACTTCCTCAAAGTCATTGGCATTAATCCCCTTTCCAGGGTAAAGACTCACTCAAATTAAGACCTCACCACCTCTCCTCTCTACAGTTGAACTCATCTGTTTGCTCTATCTGCACTTCCCATAGCAACACATTGCCTGGAATTAAAGACCTCATTCATTCATTCTAGATTCACCTCTCCCTGATCCCTTGTTCATACTCAGCCCAAATCAGCAATTTACCGTACTATGAACTAAACCAGTGTTTTTGCTCCTGATCAGATGCTGATATCCTGTGTCAGTGCCTTCCCCTTTCTTGTCTGATTTCTTCTGGTTCCAATCAGAAGCACCCTTAAATTAATTTTCCACTGTTACCTACCTTTTCAATGAAGACTGTCTAATCTCATCTCCCCCTTTTGGGATGAGCTCTCTTCTTCCTTAAATATTTCTCCTTTCAATACTGTCAAAAAGAACAACCTTGGCACCCTTTAGGACACACTGAAGGCATTTGTTTAGTTCTGTAGAAGAGGCTGGAGGTAGGAGACTGGCACGAATTATTAAATAAAACAACAGCAAAAAACCAACATCATAAAAGCAAATGTCTTGTGGGAGACCTGAGTATGAGAACCGACTTTCTCACTTGTAAGAAATTCTAGCATTACGTCTATAATATTTAGACGTAACTCTAAGTAAGTTTGACTTTTGTCCACTAACATACTCTTTGTGCATTTCTTCTTCCCAGGAGGTGACAGTCCCTCACAAGCCTGCTTCTCTCCATCCTTTATATCAGACTAAACTCTATCCTCCTGCTAAGTCCCTGCTGCATCCACAGACCCTCTCACATGCCGACTGTCTTACCCCAGGACCCTTCAGTCATTTGTCCTCCTTCTCTCTGACCGATGAACAGGAAAATTCCCACACCCTGTTTAGTCACAACGCATATAATAAGGTGAGAATTCCCTGCTGAAAGGGGAATTATTCTGTGCTGTGAACTTTCCTTATGCTTAACTTTTAAAACCTTAGTGTGCAGGAAACATATATTAAGGTTATTTAAATATATTAAATATTTGCATTAAGGCACATGACCTTACAAAAAGGTAATAATTAACCTTGGGAAGTTATTAAATATTTATTTTTTCTTTTCAAGTCATTTCCTGATTTGCATTCCTCATTGTTTCATGTTCTAGCCTAGGGTGGAAATCCCAAGAAATTTTCTAAAACCTTACAAGATGCCATTATTAACTTACCTTCTAGTCTTACTTAAATGTTCTTAAAAAGCTTCTTTAAATTAAATGTCTCTAGGAGGAAGTACTTATATTTGTGGTCAATGAGCAAAAAGTACTTAGAATTCAGCAGGTACCTGTAAAATATGTCTATTTGCTTCATAATTTATAGTAATGGGATACATAAACAATAATGAAGTGTTAGTACCATAAATGTCAATATATATTAAAAAAGAAGTAAAAATATTTATAGTTGGCTTTGGAACATAATCATGAAGTTTCTATTAGAAGCAAGCAGCTGGCACCACACTAGGCATACATGTTGGGGCCCTTGGCCCCACTGAGCATATACCACTGATACTTAAAAATCAGTCAAGGCCATATATTCCAGAATGAAGTAGAACAATATTACTTGGGCCCTGAATCTTTTTTTACTTTGAAAAAATGTTCATAAACCCAGTCTAAACACAAACGTCGATACAATTGTATGGGGGAAAATTTGCTGTTTATATTTAATAACATGTATGACAACTGAATGATGAACCATGAATTAAACTTTCAAAACATCTATTTTCTGCAAACAAAATGTTTTGGGGGCAAGGTTCAGGATGACATTTTTATGACCTTTGTTTTCTACTCAGTCTCCAAAAAGGAAGTATTTCAGAGGAAGCATATTATTTTTAATGATTATATATTATGTGAAATTCTTCCTGATTGAATGCTTGCCAACATCCATGAAATGTATTTAGCTATTCAATAGAGTTAACAGTGCTGCTAATAACATCATTTTTATAAGCTGTCATCTATGATGGGGTTACAGTTGTATTTTATAGGTCTTGATAGCATTAAACAGCTCAGTTTTTTGTTATTTTGGTGGTACTTTCTAGAACTGTTCAGTAAGGATAGAGTCAACATTTCATCCATATTTTAGTCTGTGCTTGGTCAGACTGTGAAAAACAATACACAAATGTCATTTTAGGTTGCGCAACTATTTTCAGTCTATACAATCTTCATAATAAATTTTATTTCTCAGAGCCAGAGATTTATTGATATTGAAAAAAGAAACATATCTGAAATGATAATAATACAGTAGAACGATATTTCTGATCAAAGATTCAATTGCTTAGTCTTATACTTCAATTGTTCCTATTAAAATATATAGATTACCAAATTTGATGTTTACTAACCTTAAATATGGAGCCAAGACCACTCAAAGTTTTCAAGATCTGTCTTTTTTATTTGAAATAGCTTCTTGCCTAGCATTATAAAATGTAATCTGCCATCTAAATTAACTTCTCTTCAATACTCCGATATCATTCCAGCTAGGCCTGATTTTACAGCTTTACCTGCTAGGCTCATCTCCAAACTCTAATTTTCCCACCATTCCCCTAGGAGAGCCACACTGAGCTTGATTTAACTATCTCTGATAGTCTGTCATCAGCTGGGGCTCTAAAAGGTGTTAAACTGGTTTTATTCTCCTGCTGAAGCTGTATTATGAGCTCCTCTCTTCTAAACCTTCATCAGACTCAGTACCTTCTAAATCCTTACCCTAAACTCTACCTTTTTCTCTTACTTTCAAGATAGAACTCTGTTATATGATGTCACATGATACATGATGATGCTCAGGTACTTTCTTTTTTACCTTAAAATAAGCCAGTATATCCTCTCTTTCCCCCAGTTTTACAAAGGGAGTCATTACTCTGTAATTTTTAAAAGTGATATAGCCCAATGGATAAAAGCATGATGTCTGTATGTATGTATTCATCTCTTGACACTGCTCCTTCCAGATAGTGATATTAAGTAAGTCATTTAGCCTCCATAAAACTGTATTTATTGATCTATAAAATGAAGGTGATAATAATATCCACCTTATTAGATGATGAGGATATTAAGGTGTACTAATATTTGCAAATCACTTAGAACAGTGCCTAGAATGGAACACAAACCATATAAGAGCTCTGGCCTGGTGGCTCAGTTTGTTGAAGTGTTTCAAATACCAAAGTGTTGCAGGTTCAATTCCTGGTCAGGGCACATACCTAGGTTGTGGGTTTGATCCCCAGGAAGGGCATATAGGGGAAGCAACTAATGAGTGTTTTTCTCTCACTTTGATCTCTTTCTCTCTCTCTAACCCCATTCCTCTCTCTTTAAAACCAATAAATCATATCCTTGGGTGAGGATTAAAAAAAGAACTACATAATAGTTAAGTCTTATTACTAATTGGCTTGCCCAGTGTCATTCCCATCACTCTCTTGAATTTTCATTTGGTCTTTTTTTCATTGGACCCCTCTTCTTCATGTTCAGAAACTTCAAAAAAGAAAACAAAATGAAAAACATCCCCATTCTTTTTCTTGGTGATGCAGCAAACCTAGTAATTTCAAGACTTGCTTTCTCTCAAAGTAATCAGTAGTCATGATCTGCATTCCCCCTCCATAACCTCTTTAACCCGTTCTGGAAAGCATTCTTTCATCTCAACCACTCTAACAAAATTGTTCTCTGAGTTATAAACTGCTTGTCAGCAAACTCAGCTGAATTTCCTCAGTCCTTTTATCCCATGGAGCAATTGACACAGTTGATCATAAACTCTTGAATCTTTCTCCTTGCTCTGCTCTTAGGAGATAGCATCTATGTTCCCACTTTCTGATGGCTCCTTCTTTGTTTCCTTTGTGGACACTTTTCCTCCTCTACCTCCTCCATAGTCAGCCATGCACAGGCTATCTTGATTAAGTGCTTGATTAAGAATTATCAGCTTAGTTCTGACAATTCTCAAATACACATTTCCAACTCTGCTTCTCCTCTGAGATCCCGTTTTTATAACTTCAGCTGCTTGCTTGTCAGTTCCCCTAGAATGTCACATTGTCACTTCAAACTCATCATTTATTTTGCCTCAAACTAGTTCTTCTCTGGTTTCCCTACTCTGTCATTGGTACCAAATTCTCAGTCCCCAACCTCCAAACTCAATTTATCTACTATGTTTTCTTTTTCTTTTTCCTCATTAATTCACCAAGTTCAATGGATTCTTCTTTTGTTAAATCTGTCATGTTGTATTCTCTCCCTGTTCTTTATTATCATTCTACTTTACTTAAACCAATTTACTTATTTCCCTCCAGGTACACCTTGGAAATTTCTTACTGTTCAGCCTACTCATGCATTCATCCTGCTCATATAAAACACCTTCCAGCCTTTCCTCCTTACTTATGCAAACCATTCTCGTACTTCATGATCTAGTCAGATTATCTCTCCTCTTCTGTGCTTTCCCCATGTATCAGCACTCAAAGTGGTATTTTTCTCCTTTGAATGTCCAAAATCCTTGCCTGTGCCAAGGTACCTCATATTTATCTGTTGTGATTTTCTTAGTGTCTGCCTAGGGTATGACGTGTGGTATGGTGTTGTTCACACAGGTTTAGCAATAAATATGTGTTAAATCCTAAAATGACCCAAGTTGTTTACTAAGAGCACAAGATGCTTGAATATTTAGAATTATTTTTATTTTAAGCCAAAACTAAATCTGAGTGAATTTATGAGTTTATCAGTATAGTGAGTACAATTTCAGTCAATTGAGAATCTCTCTCTTTTGAAGCCTGTATCCAATTTCCAGCGAGCTAATGGAGTCCCTGGCATGGGAGCATAGGTGGGATGGGAATGTGAAGGCAGGAGGATCTGATCTTTTTCTCTGGTAGACTCTGGTATCCACTGGGGGGTCCTCAGTTTTGTCTGGTATATGATCATTAATCATACAATAAATTGCTGCATCCTTTTTTCTTCACCTGCACTGCCTTCATTGACTTGACGTTAGCTACTTCTGAGCCTCTGTATGTGCAAAAGCATTGTTAACTTGCATACTGATAGAGTTAAACTTAAAGGGAAACTTACCTGCTTTAAAGTTAAAGCAGGTAAACTTTGTGAGGCTCTTCTCTGAACCCTCAGCTTGGATGCCTTAGGTATCCTTCTCTTGTCTTCTGTTCCTACTCCCTTTGCTATAGGGAATGCCACAGAAGCTCACTTGAGAATTTGTCTACTTGCTAAAATTTGTGTCCCCCAAATCAATACTCACTGCACTTTTATGGTCACCTGTGCACACATGAAGATCAGTGAAAACTATGATTGGCCTGTGCACATATTCCCAGCTGAGGCTGAACAAGGTGATGCTCTGCTTTCTTGTTTCAGTTTTCATGCCGTAAACAGTTGTTTTTTTCACAGTCTGTTTAGTGCTATGTGTTTTGAATTTTTGGGCTTCTGGTTGGTGCTTTGCTGTTTAAAATGGTGATAAAGCATAGTGCTAAAATGCTATCTTGTGTTTTCTAAGTGCAAGAAGGCTGTAATGTGACTTACCAAGAAAATACGCATGTCTGGTAAGCTTCCTTCAGGCACAAGTTAGAGTGCTGTTGGCTCTGACTTCAGTATTAATGAATCAATGATATATATATATATACCAGGAAATACCAGTTAGGGGAGTGAGAAACTGAGGAGAAGACATCTAATAAAGGGTGTGTCATCAAGCAAGTAACTAGCATGAGTATCTGAACTTGAGTTTTCAGGGACATTCTGGGAGACAGTGTAGAACACACAGATCAGCGTTAGTTGATCTGAGGTGGGGGCAGGGGAATCCTGGCAGTCATCAGCTGAAAGCTGTTCCTAGGGGAGGGGTGTATTGATCACCAGAAAGAACCCTCAGACAAAGAGGACAAGGGACAAGCATTTGAGGTTTGGAGGCTGGTAGTACAGTGTC